CGGGGGGGGGGGGGGGGGGGGGGGACGCTACTTCCCATACATTCTCTTAAATGAAATCCAAACGATGTTCTCACAACTTGGAAAGCGATCAGTAAGGGTCTTGCCAGCGGATTTGTGTACTGATCAGGTGCATTACGTCAAAAACCATAGATCAACGGTCTTGAGAAAAAACAAAAACATGGCAGTCCAAGGCGGAACTGTTTCTCACTATTATATTTTGGTAATTCGCAAACTTATTGATTTTATGTCGCTTTTAAGACATAGTGTGTGGTTTTCTTTTTCTGTTAAACAATTTCCCTCTGCAGAGTTTAGAATATGCAACATACAGCTCCGTATAGCTGCAAAGAACCGCCAAAGCGTTGACACTTGACTTTGTTTCTTCCAAATGTTTTGAATTCAGTGCTTTGGCTGGTGTTGTTGGGCTTTCACAGTTATTAAGTGCCCATTGTGCAATGAAGTTTTTTTAATTTTAATTTTCTTTTTTTAATAAAGAAAGAAGGAAAGGTGTCATGGTAGTCCTGTGGTTGCAAGCCATGTGACCTAAAATCAGGTGCTTTTGTAGTAGCTTTGAGGCGGCCATCATTGAGTTTATCCTTATTAAGCGTTTAAGACTCCTATCGTTACACTAGTCATAAAATTGTGCAGTCTCTGAGAGCTTTGATGCTGTTGAGAATTAAATGACAGCACTAGTGTCCTCGGTGAAAGGCCAGTCTCCAGAAAAATGCATAATTTTCTTCCTGGTAGACCTTCTTTGTTGTATGTGACCACCTGGAAATTCTGCACAACTTCCAAATACTTCTTGCACATAATCAACGTCCACCAAGATGTTTTATTAGGTTGGTACAAGATTCTGAGTGATAAATCATCTTACCATGACTTTATCTAGTACTGAATGCTACTATTTTTTGCTAATGCATTTTCTTGCACACCACTAATGCATTACAAGGAAAATACATATCAATAAAGCTTACCAGCCAATCCAAGCCTTTGTTTGCTTCTTTTAATCCCTGGTTTTCTTTCATGCCTGTACAAAAAAATGAAAGTAAAAAGAAAACATAACTCAAGAATTGTTTTTTTTTTTTCATTAACATTCTAAAATTCATGGATGAGAGAACGTTTACTCATGGTCTATACAGTTACAGAGATCGTCTACAGTAGTATACAAATGAAGAAAGATAGCCTGATGATAAATAATGACCAGATGTGACTTTGTGCTATCAGGACAAAGCAGCAATAGGCTATTTTACAGTTATGGATGGAAGTGAGACTGAGGGTGACCTTGTTTTGATACAAACCTTCCTGCTTTATTATGCAAATCAAGTTATTCTTATGATAACTATTACTTTTCAAGAACAATTTCCACAACAAAGCAAAGGGGGTTTGTATCAGAACAAGGTCACCCTCAGCCTCGCTTCCGGCCACAACTGTAAAATGGCCTATTGGCAGAAGTCTGCATTTAATTCTGAACTTCAGTAGTATATTAAGAAGTATAAGAACCCCGTTTGTCTAGACTTTGTCATTGAGGTTTGCTTTGTTGTGTGAACTGTAAGTTTCCCCCTCCAATCTCAACAACTTTATTCTTAGTGAATTGATTTTCTTAAAGCTTTTAGTACAGGAAGTTGAGCTCATGCAGTTTCTATTACATAAAGCTGCATGCACTAAAAAACTCCCTGATACATCTTTATCAAGAGAACATTGAAGCTAATGTGATTTTCAAGAAAAAAATTGAGGGTAAGCTGAGAAAAATGCCCAGAAATTGTCAGAACAAATTTATTCACTTTTCATCACTTTGTCATATCATGTGGTGATCTCCGTGCTTGCAAGAGTTTTAGGCATACTTTACATACACTGTACTCTCGTTGACTTTCATAGGCTATGTTAACGAATGACAAAATATCAAAATCTATTCATTAGAATCTGACGAAATTTAGCAGAATTCCTGTTTATACAATTCCACTTTAAATAAAGGAAACAAAAAAATTAAAGTTCAAAAAAGGAGTTTGTCACACTTAGTAGAGTAATTGCTTTTTGCTCACTACACAGTGCCCACTCTTAAGGGAGAAGTTTGGAAAAATTAAACATAATACCTCTCATTGTTAATTGGTTACATGTACCACAAGAATAAAAAATTGGAAATTAGAAATGTTGATGTCAGTAAGCAGGCAGGTGGGAAGGAAGGAAGGATATACAACTCCCCTAAAAATACTGTG